ATCAAGATCGAGGTTCGAATATATCTGTGACTTCCAGCTCTCGGTATTTTGGGTTTATAGGAAAGAAGGTATCACTGACCCATGATAATGAAGTTTAGTAACGGGAACTACCATAAAGCTTTCCAGTAAAGTGCTACACCACTTTACTACCAGTAACAAAATTTCCTTACCTTTTCACTTTTTCTACTTCTCAGTTTCATTTTGTGGTGTGTGTGGATGGACACACAGGCGAAGGTCAGAGAAATCCTGCTAGAGTTGGTTGTTTCCTGCCAAGTGAGCTCCAGGGATCCAACTCAGGTCATCATCCTTGACAGCCAATGTCTTCACCCATTGAGCAGTCTCGCCAGCCCCTCGTATTACTTACTTATGTATTTATCTGCTGTTGATAATAGCCATTATCAGTGTGGTAAAACGATATATCATCTTTACTTTGCAGGGAATCTATCCTCCTTGACATGCTAAATACATGCAATACAGTACAGCCCTTATTGAGATTTGGATTTATTTTCCCTGTTTGGTGACTTGACCATCTTTTACTGTACTTGCCGTTCATTTGTATCCTTGGTGAAATTCAAGACCTTTTATATATTTGAGTTGATTGTTACTTTTGAATTCAGAAGCTTTATATGAGGGGATATGTGTGTCGCAGGCTGGCCTCAAACTTTTTAACTTTTAAAAATTGGTAAACAAAGCCAGCAAGATGGAATTTGCTACATAGATCTGCCTGCCTCTTCTTCACAAGTGTTGGTATTAAAGCATGTGGCACCATACTTGGCCCACTCTTACCTTAATCTTAATTCAATTGATTACAATATTTTACAATATTTTCTTTTGTGTGATCATTGGTGATGCAGGTAATGTCAATTGATTCTAATTGTTTTTCTGTCTGGGTTCTTTGGTTCTATTGCTGTTGTAATAATTGGTTTTCTCCTTTCATAACAGTACCAGGGGTGACCTCTAAAAAGAAGGCTGCTCACTAAGAAGACCTTCAAATAAAACTAGAAGAGATAACCATCCAAGCACATGTGTAAATCACAACTTAGAAAAACAAACAGGCCGGGCAGTGGTGGCGCACGCCTTTAGTCCCAGCACTTGGGAGGCAGAGGCAGGGGGATTTTTGAGTTCGAGGCCAGCCTGGTCTACAGAGTGAGTTCCAGAACAGCCCGGGCTACACAGAGAAACCCTGTTTTGAAAAAAAAAAACAAAAAAACAAAAAACAAAAAACAAAAAACAAAAGAAAAGAAAGGAAGGAAGGAAGGAAGGAAGGAAGGAAGGAAGGAAGGAAGGAAGGAAGGAAGAAAGAAAGACAGGCAGGCAGACAGACAGACAAACAGATCTGTAGCGAGTTCCAGGACAGACAGGACTACATTGAGAAACCTTATCTCAAAACAAACAACAAATAACCCCACAAAACAAAAACAAGGCAACAAGACTCCACCCAAAGATCACTACTCTTCAATTATGGACTCCAAAAATAATAGAATGGTTCAGAATGCTAGATAAATAACTTTAAAAATCTAGGCTTGTCAATACTTGCTGAGTTATCTCAACAATCCTGAAAAGTCCAGTTTTAAAATGATCAGGAACCTCAAAGAGGATTAAAAATAGCTGACAAATCAGTAAGGAAGTCAGTTCAGGAACTGGACAAGAACATTAATAATGTGGATGAAGAATTCAGCACAGAAGCTGAAGGTGGTGGTGCATGCCTTTAATTATAGCACTTGGGAGGCAAAGGCAAACAGATTTATAGAGTTTCAGGACAACCAGGGCTACATAGAGAAATTCTGTCTTGAAAAACAAAAAAATCAGCACGAAATTTGAGATTTTGAAGAAAAGAGAAATATTAGAAACAAAATCTCAGTAAATCAAATAACAGCAAAATATAGTGGAAAGCACCATTAGTATATCAAAAGGATATCAGTTATTGACGATAAAATTGAGGAAAATCCATATCCAGATATCAAAAAAGGAAAAAAGTGAATATAATTTTCAAGAACTCTTGAAGATGAAGAAACAATGCATGAGAAACTGTGAGGAAGATAAAGCTGAGAAAAAAACTAACAGCACAGAAGACATACACAGTGAAATGATATCAGAAAAAAGCCCACATCTAGGGAGTGAGAGATACGGATAGCTGCACACAAGAGACTTACACCCCTGGCAGATACGAGCAGGAAAAGCCTTTCCTAAGGCTAGGCACAATGGCTCAGCCTTAGACAAGCTTCCCACCAAAGCTAAAGACTTTAATTCAATATCTGGGACCCACATGGTAAAAAATCTGACTTACAGAGGTTGTCCTCTGACTGCCGGATGCACACCGTGAAGCATACATGCCCACCGACATCAATCTATCAATCATTACAATGTAATAAAAGTATTTTTTTAATATGGCAATTCACCATATTAAAAGATGGTGACTCCACCCCCAGCATGTCTAGCAGCGTCTTCCTAGCTTCCATAGGCAACCAAACTCTGGTGTGCCCACACAGACATAAAAATCAGTCTTAACATCGGGACGGGTATGGCTCTCATGCCTCACTGGACAACGACAGGGGAACTGGAGCCATTACAAGGTCCCCTTCAAATACTGAAGGTCAGGCCTCTATCCCAGCCTTCACAAGTTTAGAATTGCCACAGCCCTTCTATACTTAGAGAAGGGAGGAGATGTCAGGGGCAGCCCTGCTTACACACTGTAGGCCTAAAATCAGCCATAGGCCTAAAATCAGAAATAGGCCTGTCATACATGTATACTAACACCAAGTCTTGGGTCTCAGTGGAAAAAACATTAAAACAGATGGCTATAAGCTAATGTCAACAGGCAGCTTTTGTGGAAATTTATAAGCCTGAGTAGTCATAGACCTTGTAAATAAGTAGCCTTGGCAGACAATACCAACTTAGATAAGGACAAGCGAGTCATAGGCAGAGTCATAGTGACTTGTCCCCTGAACCTTCACCCAGCCGATACCCGGTTCTGAAGATATCTGTATTCCCCCTGAACACCCACACTCCAGTGTCATTCCCTTCCCCACATCCTGCCTTTCTGTGTTTATACTCCTGTGTGAATTAATTATGATTTGAGAAAAAAATTTAAAAAAAAAAACCAAAACAAAACAAAAACTATATCTTTACTTTAAAAAGACAATTTTTAAACCTCTATGTTAACAGTCACTGTATCTTGGTCTTATCATTTGCTTTCTTTTTAAAGAATAAATGTTCTGAAGACTGTTTTCTAATGTAATTTCTGGAAGAAGTAATAAAATTAAAATGAGCAGATTTCTATTACAAGAAAAAAAAATCAGTCTTAAAAACACTTGGGCATGGTGGTGTCTACCTTTGTCCCAGCACTCAGCAAGCAGAGATAGGTGGGTCTTTAGCAAGTTTCAGGACAGTCAGGGCTATATAGAAACCTTATCTCAAAAATATGTATCAAAACGACCTGTGAATGGAAGGATTTATTACACTCCTTAAGTCCATGGGGCTTCCTACAACTTGAGTATTTTCATGTACATGAATTAGAATAAGTGAAAGACTTTTCTACATTGCTTATCTCAACTGTTTTTCTCAACTATGGTTTCACATGTGCATATTAAGGCTGTAAAGTATATAAAAGCTGTTCTCCATTCCATATGTGTGTATAACGTATGTTGTGTACATATATTAAAACATTATAATTTTTTTGTGTGGACGAGAGAAGCAGTTTAGCAGTTATGCAGTTCCCAATTACCACAAATTATACAGCCAAATTTCCCATATTTGTAGAAACTTCAGAGGTACAACATTTGGATAAGAACATCTGGAGTGCAACAAATAAGCATGCCGTGGGAAAACCACCTTAGTGATCATAGATCTCCCTTGCCAGGTATTTGTTTTTCAGATAGTGTTTTAGTTACTGTTCTATTGTTGTGAAGAGACACCATTCTTATTGTCTTAAAGAAGCATATGCTTAGTTTTTGAAGGCCAGTCTATGATCATTATGGTGGGAAGCAGACAGGCTTAATGCTGGAGCAGTAGCTGAGAGCTTTACATCTTGATCTGGAGGCAGCTGGCAGAGAAAGAGATAGTGGCCCTGGTGTGGGCCTGGCATGGACTTTTGAAGCCTCAAACCCACCTCCAAATCCTTCCCAAACAGTTCTACTAACTGGGGACCAAGCATTCAAACATGAGTCTTTCTCATTCAAATCACTACAGATATCTCAGTTAGCCCTGGCCAGCTTCAATCTTACTATGTCAAGGGTGACCTTGAACACCTCGTCCTCTTGCATCCACCTCCTGAGTGACAGAATGACAAGAGGCATCAGTTTTATTGAGATGGGATCTTATAGCATCTAGGATGACCTTAAATTCAATATGTACCCAATACTGACCTTGGATTGGTGATCATTCTAGCCTCAAACCCCCAAGTGTTAGGATGATACTAGTGGGCTATCATTTAGTTTTATAACTTCTTATTTTCAGTGTTTTGCCTGCATGTATTTATGTACACCACAAGAATGTATGGTAGACTGAGAAGTCAGAAAAAGCCATCAGATGACATGGAACTGGAATTAGACATGACTGTGGGCCACCATGTGGGCACTGAGAACCAAATACAGGCCTTCTGCAAGAGTAGCAAGTGCTCATAACTGCTAAGTCATCATTTTAGCCCGCCCCTTGAGTTTTCTAAGATGGGATACTGAAAAGAAAGAGAGGGGGAAAGGGAGGGAGTGAATGAGGGAGAGAGGGAGGGAGGGTGAAGGGGGAGAGAGAGAGAAACAAAGGAAGGAAGAAAGACAGAACATCAGACACACAGACACACAGACAAGGTAAGATCTTGCTATATAACTCAGGTCTTTAACTTAGAATCCTGCTTCCACCTCTCAAATTATAGGATTATACAAACAGGGCCACTGCACTCAGACCTGTATATAACTAAAGCTTTTGGGTAATCTAAAGGCATGTGTGTGTGTGTGTGTGTGACATACACGATTTGTTAGAGCTAATGCAACAAAGTAACAGACCAGTAGCTTAAACATGGTTTTTTATTTCTTACAATCTGGAGGCCGGAAATCAGAGATCAGCATAACTCAGGTAGTTTCCTCTGGAGGCCTGAGTAGAAACACTTGTGGGAGCCATTTGTCTCTATTTGCAGAAGGCTATCTGAAGTTTCCATGGTCCTCTCTGTGTGCTACCTACAGCATATTAACCTTTTGAGGACATTAGTCATTTCTAATGGACTCATTGCAACTTCATTGTCTTTTTATTATTTTTACTTTATACATGTTTTGCCTGCACATATGCACTTGTGTGTGTGCTGAGTGATCACAGAGGCCAGAAGAGGCTAAATCCCCTTCACCTAGTTATGGATAGCTACAAACTGCCACACAAGTGCTGAGAACTGAAGCCTGGTCCTCTGCAAGAGCAGCAGATGCTTATTACAACTGTTTGAATCATCTCTACAGTCCCTCACTTGAATTTTTAAAATGTAATTTATTGGGGGTTGTGCATGCCACAGCACTCATGTGGAGGTCACAGGGGAGCTTTTAGGAGCCAATTCTCTCATTACACTCACTGTGGGATCCAGAGATACAAAACTGGTAGTCAGGAGTGTATGGAGTATGCTTTTGTCTGCTGAGCCATCTCAACAACCCTCATTTCAATTCTTTAAAAAAAAAAATTATTACTGTGGTATATTTCGGAGAGTGGGCAGACACATGGAGATCAGAGGACAACTTTAAGGCATTAGGTCTTCTACCTTGTTGAGGCAGTCTTCCTTTCTGCCATGCTGTGTAGAATAGGCTAGCTGGCCTGAAAGCTTCCAGGTGATTCTGCTGCCTCTGCCTCCTATCTGTAGGAATGCTAAGAATACAGATGCATGCCACTACATCTTTCTCTTTTACATGGATGTGGATTGAATTCAAGTTGTCAGACATTCCCATCAAGTGCTTTTACCCACTGAGCCATCTTGCCAGCATCTGCTTCAGTTTTTTTTGATATAGAGCATTTGTGTTGTTCAGTGTGGTAACACAGTACTGCTCTAAGCTACGTATCTAATTTTAATAGTTTCTCTCCAGTGTGAGTAAAATCATGTCTTCAAAGTAAATGAGCTCAAATAAGGGCTTTCTCACATTGCTTCAGTCAACCAGGCTTCTCTCTAGTGAGTTCTTTCATGTCTGCGAAGTGATCGAGGATGACTATAGGCCTTTCCACACTGTTGACACTTATAGGGTTTCTCTTCAGTATGGGTGTGACTTATTTCATGAATCCTGAAGGAACTGGGACAGATGAAGGCTTTCCCACACTCTTTACATTCATAGGGCTTCTCTCCAGTGTGGGTTCTTTCGTGGATCTGAAATGAAGTGGAGTGACTGAAGGCTTTCCCACACTGTTTACACTCATAGGGTTTTTCTCCAGTGTGGATTCGCATGTGAATTTTAAGGTGGGTGGAATAGTTAAAGGCCTTCCCACACTCCTTGCATGTGTATGATTTTTTGGCATTGTGAGTTCTCATGTGATTATTAAGACATGAAAGATATCCAAATGCTTTCCCACAAATCTTGCACTCACAGGTCTTCTCTTCAGCATGCATTTTCAGATGCCCGTTAAGATTCGAAGAAATAGCAAAGGCTTTCCCACATTTGACACACACAAAAGGCTTTTCTCCTGTGTGAGTTCTTATATGTTGAATAAGTCGAGAGGATGTAAGGAAGGCTTTCCCGCACTCCTTACATTCATAGGGCTTGTCTCCATTGTGGGATCTTACGTGGATACTAAGACCTGAGTACTGAGTGAAAGCTTTCCCACACTGATTACAGACATAGGGTTTCTCTCCTGTGTGAGTTCTTCCATGTATCTGAAATGAATTGGAATAATTGAAGGCTTTCCCACACTCCTTACACTCATAGGGCTTTTCCCCAGTGTGAGTTCGCATGTGAATATTTAGATATGCAGGGTATCTATAGCCTTTCCCACATTCCTTACATCTGTAAGGTTTCTTTGCATTCAGAGTTTCTATAAGCACAGAAAGTCTTGAGTTTATAAAACTTCTCCCACATTCATTCCATTCATAAAGTTTGTCTCCACTGTGAGTTCTCTGGTGTGTCTGAAGGTGTGACTGACTCGTAAAGGACTTCCCACAGTCACTACATTCAAAACCTTTCTCTTGTGTGGCAATTTTCTGATAAGCTTTAACTGGGGTCGTGCCGGTTTCTTCACTCTCACTAAACTCAGAGAGTTTCTCACCATCACAGTTTTTCGTCTGAAGCATCAGAAAGTCTTTTCTGTACTGACTACAACCATAATTATCCTGTGCAGGTTGAGTTTCCGTATCTGTCCTAAGGGGTGAGAGTTCACTGAAGAAGTCTCCATATTGCATCCCGTCACAGAGCTCCCTTCCTCTGTCGCTTCCTGTCTGCTGATAAGAGGGATAAACAACATTTTTCTGCAGTCAATTGGTAAGGTTTTAACATTTGATAACAAAATGCTATAATTATGATTATTTTTCACTATATGCATACAGTTCATACTCTGTTAATTACTCTCAAGTGGTGTGACTAAACACTTACCACAGATTGCTACGTCATGTGCTCTAATCTTTACAAGATTTCTGTACCACTCCAAGAAAGAGATGTACTTTGTGAGTTCTGGAGCAGTGAGTGTCATTACACACTGGAGGCACAATGATCTCCTCAGAGACATTTGCTCTTGTGTATTATCTGCTTCTCTTGGTATCTCCTTTAAAGAAATCCCGAAACTTCTCCCTGAAAGGCTTCAAGCATGCCAAGTAGGTACTCTACAAAAGACACATCTCTAACCTCTATTTTTCTTTATGAATAAGAACAAGATATATTTTTTTATTCTTACCATTTGCATCCCAGTGGATATGTTACCCCTCAAAACTTCCTCCTGGAATGCTGAACATTTGGTTTCAAGTTGTATTTTCCATTCTAAAGTAAAACAGAAAAACACATATAAGATCTGGAAAAAAGAAATGAAGCTATTTTTTAACTGGAGCTAAAAAAAAAAAATAGGGATCATTTACTTTTATTTTGAATTTAAAAAGGGAGAGATGAGGATTTTTTTTCTGTTCTGCTTTTGAGACTATGCAACCTCACCTTGAACTCACTACATAGCCCACACTGCACTGACTTCGTAAGCATCCTGCCTCAGCTTCCTGCTTAGAAGGATTTCAGAAATGTGCCATCATGTGAAGCAAAGGTAAAGACACTGGACCAAACTTTTAGATCATATTAAAAGCTGATTCTATAAAAATCAAAACTGATGGTAAATAGAAATTATCAGGGAAATACTGTGGAAAATTTCAAAGCAATAAACATAAAGAAAGGTTTGGTTAGAAGTAAACTAAAAGAGTATTGAAGTTGAAGACTTTCTTTCTTGGCTCAGAGTTCTGCGACAAATTTTATTTTGAAGAGCTTCATTACTGGAGTTCGGATGGTTCCGTAGGTAAAGTGTGTATTGTCCAAGTGTGAGGACCTGAGTGCAGATCCCCAGACCTCACATAAGGCTGGTCATGATAGCATGTGTCTGTCATTCCAGTACAGCTAAGACAGGTGGAAGACCGAGACAGAGAAATCCCCTGAAGCTTTCCAGCCTGGCCCATGAAGTAGCAAACAAAGACACTGTCAGACAAAGCAGCTGGTGGGGACTGACTCCAGCATATGCACTGCAGCAACACATGCATGCCCCCATATACACACACCACACACACCTCATACAAAGAAATACGAGGACCTTCATCCGTCCGTCCACTCCCTTCCTGAGGTTATGTGCACACACACACACTTGCATCACAGCATGCGTATAGAGGTCAGGGGACTTTGGGAGTTGGTTCCACCACATGGGTTACAGGGATTGAACTTCGGTTGTCAGGCTTGGCTGCAAGTGCCTTTACCTACTGAGCCATCTCTCCAGTCCAACACAGGGTTTTCTTTTTATTTTAAGTTTATTTCAGATACAAACAGACTAAACCCTCAGTAACTAGAATTTCCATTAATACTGACCTGGAAAAACTATCTTCTGGCCTGCACTAAACTCTTCTTGTTCCAGCCAAGAGATCAAACTGGGTTTGATGAGTTGATATCCTGTGTACAACGTAAGACATGTTAGTGAAAAGGCTCATACAGAAAAACAGCACAACTTCCCAGGGTTCAGGAATTAGAAATTTTGTTTTGTTTTGTTTTGTTTTGTTTTGTTTCCTCCAGCTTTTTGAGACAAGTGGGACTATCTAGCTTGGGCTGGCTTCAAACTCACAGAAATCTTCCTCTTTCAGCCTTTCAGGTGTGTGAATTGCAGAAATGTGCCACCACACCTGGCCAAGAACTAGAGCCATGATGGTAACAGAGAAATTATTTTCAAAGGACTGATAGTGCAAGTACCACCTGTCCGTGCCTTATAAGTTTAGTTTGTTCTGGAGTCTAAGACCCCAGTTAACTTAGTCATATATACATTACAAAGAACTAGAGTTTTCTTTCTATAAGACTGGGGATTGCACCCAGGGCCCTGCATGTGATAGACAGGTGCTTAACCACTGAGTCATACCTCAACCCAGGACTTTACTTTTATTCAAACAGTAAGTAAGAGAACTGCAACAAAGAGCTATTTGTTCCTCTAGGGAAATTAACGACAATTGGTTCATAGGAAGCATTATTCATCACAGTCATCAAGATAATTAAACTTTCTAATTTACTTACTATTTTGTGTGTGGGTACATGTGCTTGTGTGTGTGGGTTTGCCTCTGTGTGTGTAGTGATTAACAATGCCCGAGAGATGGGGCACTAGCTCAGGTCTTCATGCTTAAGCAGTATCCAGCTGCCTCCCACCTCCCAAAGAAAGTATGATTCCCTCTTCATATTTGATAGGCTAAATCAGAAACCTCAATGTAAAATCTTATATCATTTCTTATATCATTATACAATAATTTCTCTCAGAGTTCAAGAGAACCCTTTTTGAATTAAATATATGTATTTGTGTGTATGTATGTGTGTGGAACATGCATATGTGGTATAAACACATGTGTGTGCAAGTGCATCCCTATGTCCACATGCAAAAGACAAACGAGGGTACTGGGTATCATTCTCTATCATTCTCTGTCTTTTTTACAGCAGTCTCTCCTGGAACCTTGGCTTATATTTTGCTAATTAGGCCGGCAGACAGCAAGCCTCCAAGATCATCATTTCCACCCTCCCCTCAATTCCACACTAGGGTTACACATGCATGCAAGACCACACCCGGCTTTTTACATAAGTGCTAGGATCCTCAATCCAGGTCATCCTAAGAGTTGTAAAGCAAGGTCTCTTAACCACTGAGCCATCTCTCAAACTCCAAGAAAACTTACTGACACAGATATGATAAATGATTTTACAGTTTCCAATTTAGCCTATCAAATGAGGAGAGGAAAAATATATACTTTCTTTTGGGAGGTGGAAGGCAGTTTTTGAGACAGGGTTTCTCTGTGTAGCGCTGGCTGGCCTCAAACTCAAGAGATATGCCTGCCTCTGCCTCCTTAGTGCTGGGACTAAAGGCATGTGCCACCACACCCAGCAAAAAAATATATGAAGAACCTTGGACTTAAAAAAAACCAAAACACCCTGGTAAAATAAAACATATTCAGGGTAGTAGACACCTTTAATCTCAGCATTCAGAAGGCAGTAGCAAGGGTAATCTCTGAGAGCTTGAGGTCAGCCTGTTTTACATTTCAAGTTCTAGGCTAGTGAGGGCTCCACTGAGATCCCTCATCTCAAAACAAAACAAAACAACATGGGAGCTAGAGATGGAACTGTCTTATTCAGAATTGCTAAAACAGTCAGTCCACAAGGGTCTACCAGTAACAGCAGCAGTCCTACCTACTGTGGCCAGGTTCTGGTAGTTCTCCAGCATCACATCTCTGTAGAGGTTTCTCTGATCTGGGTTCAGTGAGGTCCACTCCTCTTGGGTAAAGTCCACAATCACATCCTCAAAGCTCACTAACTCCTGAAATATTGCAGACATGTTGGTTTGAGCCAAATAAGAACTCTGTTAATGAACATGGGAGGATGAAGAAATAGGACCCTACATCTACAGAAAATTCCTCAGCCTTTGATTATCTAACACCAGGGTTAGGTAGCTTTACTAACTCCTCTTTGAACTCACATACTTGTGTGTGTGTGTGTGTGTGTGTGTGTGTGTGTGTGTGTGTATGTCTGTGTCTGTGTCTGTGTGTCTGTGTGTGTTGTAATTTCTTTTTCAGTTGATTCTTCACCTTTTCTGAGACAGGGTTTCTCACTGAACCTGGAAATTGCTGTGTCAGCTACATTAGCTGACCAGTCTGGGAATCCATTCCTCTCCACCCACAGTCCTGAGATCACAGACACATGCAGCCATGCCAAGTTTTACATGGGTGATGGGGGATCAAAACTCAGGTCCTTGTACTTGGACAAGCCCTTTGCCCACTGAATCGGCTCCCTAGCACTGCAGAGCCTTGACTGAGCTAGGCAGGGCTCTATCACTAAGCTCCACCCCCAGCCCTACTCTCACTCTTGATTTCCTCAAGTCACATGCCACTGCTCAACAGCAACTGGTACCAGCAAGAAAGCACACTGAACAGTGCTTCCAAAGATGTGATGGATAAGTATACATGAATAAATGTCAGTGGAAAAGGACATGGTCGTCAGCCTTGTCATCTGCCAGAGCACTCAACAAAGAAAGAAACATGCAGTGTTGACCAGGGGTCAGCAAAATGGCTGACCACCTGAGTGTGAGCCTCAGACATACATGACGCAAGGAGAGAGCTAACTCCTGAAAACTGTTCTCTGAATCCACACACAATGTGCATGCACTCATATAAGCACGTCCATCTGAGTGGGCGTGTGTGCATGTGTGTACATGCATGTTTGTATGTGCACACAAGTGCATGCACATATAGACACACACACACACACACACACACACAAGAAAACACAAATGTAATAAAAGAAGAAGAGTTGACACCATGAATGTAAAACCAGGTTATTACTGGAAAATCAGAATTAACTGTAAGTTTCAAAGTCACTTAACAGGAAATGTTTTATCATAGCTATTGTTGACTTGACACAAATCTAGAATCTGAGAAGAGGGAATCTCAACTGAGGAACTACCTTCATTAGAATGGCCTGCAGGGCATTTTCTTGATTTCTGATTGATGAAGGAAGACCCAGCCTACTATGGGTGGTACCATCCTGGGATGGGCCTGGGATGGATAAGAAAGGTAGCTGAGCTAGCCAGAGGCTCAAGGCAGTAAATAGATTCTACTGTTGGTCTCTGCTTCAGTTCCTGTCTTGACTTCCCTCAGTGATGGATTATTATCTGAGAACTATAAGCTGGAAGGAACCCTTTCTACCCTCCAAGTGGCAATGGTGTTTATCATAACAAAAAAAAGCAAACTAAAAGAAGGCTCTATCTCCCAGGAAATGTAGGGAACAGGGAACTACATCTTTGAGTGAGGCTCTGTTTGCTTTAAAGAGCTCTTGAGATAAGTTTATCCAAAGGAAATTGTCTAAAGTAGGACATTTTGAGTGTGTGTGTGTGTGTGTGTGTGTGTGTGTGTGTATGTGTGTGTGTGTTTTACCTGATAATCTGTCAGGCAATCAACCAACATCATTTCTGCTGATATCTTTTCTTCGTGAAGGCAGACTGAGTCCTCTGAAGGACCTTATGGAAAAAGAGGAAGGTATGAATACTCAGTTGTGCAGAATTCTCATTCAAAGACACAGAAGTCATTCTGGCCTACTACAAAAGCCTTATGTAACCAATCTAACTCCATACTGATGTCTCCCTTCCTCCTGTTCTTGATCTTTCTTGTTCTGTATCTCTCACTCTATGTCTCTCCTTCCTCTCTCCTCTCGCTCCCTGCCTCTCTCTCACACACACATTTGCATGCTCTTTCCCACCCCACACGCCACAGAATGCTATACATATATATATTATGTATATCATATATTATATATATTTTAGAATATATATACATACATACATATATATAGTCTAAAACAAAAATATTACTTGTCATGATTATAAAACTCCTAATGAAGACTGTACTTTTCCCCTTGTAACATACTTCAGAGAACTTATAATACCCCTGTTGGCCAGCAAGTGGGTAAAGGCACTTCCTACCAGGTCTGTTGACCAAAGAACCACATGGTAGGAGAGAATTGACTCCTAAAAGTTGTGCTCTCCCCCCACTTCCCTCTTTTCAGGAAAGAAGGAAGGAAAGAAGGAAGGAAGGAAGGAAGGAAGGAAGGAAGGAAGGAAGGAAGGAAGGAAGGAAGGACATTCCTTAAAAAAATAATGTGGAGAATGACTGAGGAAAACTCCCAACATGGACCTCTGACCTCTACATGCACACACCACATGTGCACATACACGTGAACATACACACACACACACATACACACACACGTCGTAGGGGGACCTACAAAAAACAAAAACAAAAACAAAAACAAAAAAACCTAGAGCACCTTTCAAGTTGCCTGGAAATGCCTGAAATCAATGAAATGCTTGACCCTTTTTCACTGGCACAGGGTTAAGGCAAACTCAGAATGTGCAGGGCTGTTATTAACTGAATATCTTCTCAAAGGACTATCCCCTGTTTGTAGATTTCATGTGTATTAGTGTTTGGCCTGCACATATGTCTGTGCACCACATGTATAGCTAATGCTTGCAGAGGTGAGAAGAAAGCATTGGATCCCCTGGAACTGGAGTTACAGGTAGTTGTGAAGCACTATTTGGATGCTGGGAACTGAACTAGAGTTGCAAGAACAAGTGTTTTTAATAGCTGAGCCATCTCTCTATTCTTTTTAGACTATTTAAAAGAATCATCTGCTTGCTTCAGTAACACATATATTAAAATTGTAACAATACAGAGAAGATTAGCATGGTCTCTGTGCAAGGATGACATATTTTTTGTATTCAGGATATAATATATGAGAGGAGAATAAATAAGAAAAGTAAAAGAATCAGCATTATAAGCTATTTTGGCCCAGACTACTGTGCTACTATATACAGTACTACTTTAGGGGAACCTTAGGAATTCTGAGAAACAGTATCAGTAGAACTTACCATGGGATGAATCAGGAGCTGCCATCCTGCAACACTGAAGTGTGCATGAGTATTCCTTTCACTGAGGCAAGCATCGTTTTAGTGCAGCTGATGAATTTCAGTGGACAGTGGCACTCTATCACCTGTTGTACACAACTGGTAGCATTCCTGTAATATCAACTACTAATTAACATAAACTACTTAGTCATTCATTTTCTGTCAATTGCCATATATAAACTATATTCAGGAAATACACAAGATCACTAAGCATAGGACTCCCTGAAACATGAGTCCTGGTGATACTAACTGCTTCACTGAGAAACGCTATGCAGCAGACAACGTGCAAGGAAACGTGAGGGGTGTGTGTCTGTGTGTGTGTTCAATTAATTATTATAACCACCCTTCACAGTAGACATCACTGCCCTAAGAAAGCTACAGTCAAAGCGAAGCATGGTGCTGCACACTTACAATGGAAGCATGGTGCTGCACACTTACAATGGCGGCCCATGGAGGCTGAGTCAGGGAAGTGCTGTGAGGGTACGAGGTCCTGAGTTCTAGCTCCCACACCTGTAAAACAGATTTAGTACCACCACCAACAAAACTCTCCCTGGAAGCAAAAGAATTATTTTGCGACCATAAAGACAGTTCAGTGTTTAGGAACACTGGATCCAACCACTTGTGTCAAACCAGATGTCCAGCAAACATGTAACTCCAGTCCTCCAGGGATCAGAAGGTACTCAGGCTTTTGCCCGAGGTAGGGATTTTTTTTTTTTTTTTTTTTTTTGGCCAGGGTAGGGAATTGCTACCCTGGGATACAAAACAAACCTTCTGTCAAACAGGGAGTTAGCAAGACGCCTAAGCAAATAAAGGAACCTGCCACTAGATAACGTAAGCCTGAAAACTTGAGTTTGGTCTCCAGGACCCTTTTCCCCTTCTATGTACACATACAGAGAAGACAATCATAAAATCTAAAACAGAAGAGCATGTATATTCATAGAGCACTCATGATTCCTCATTTATCGTCCAGTGGTAAATGGCAGTACAGGGCTGTAAGGGTTTCTTTCACTAATATGCAAACTTTCTCTCATCTTTAACACGTGGTAAGACTGTGTGTACAAAAGCAAATCATTATTTTCTTATTTATCTGTGTGTATGTGCACATACAGAGGCCAGAAGGTGTCCAATGCCGTTCTCTCTTCTTCTCCACCTGTTCATTTAAGGTAGAGTCTCTCCCTGAACCTGGGGTTCATGTTTTCCCAGCTATGCTGAAAGCCTGAGTACCTTCTGATCCCATCCTCCTGAGGACTGGAGTTACATGTTTGCTGGACATCTGGTTTGACACAACTGCTTGGATCCAGTGTTCCTAAACACTGAGTCGTCTTTATGGTCCCAAAATAATTCTTTTGTTTCCAGGTAGATTTTTGTTGGTGGTGGTATTTAAATCTGTTTTACAGGTATGGGAGCTAGAACTCAGGATCTCATATGTGGTAGACAAGAGTTCTACCTCTGACCTAGCTTAAGTAGTTCTTAAATGTAAGGGTATTTGGGCAGCAGGGAATCTCTGAACATAATTTAAGCAGTGCCTCAACCTACACAGTGGTGAGACCTTACCTCAAAAGAAACCAAAAACCCCAAAAGGTCCGGAGACCTGCACTTCTTAGCCTATCTCTGCAGTCCCAACATGAGCTTCAGATTTAACTAGAGGGCAAGAGTCATGCATAGCTAAGCAGTCCTGGTTAGTGTGTGGTTACCAGCCTCCTGCAGCATGATCTGAACTCTTCAGACCACACACACATAAACAAACAAAGAGAAAGAAAGATAGAGAAGGGGGGGGGGAAAGGAGAGGGGGAGGGAGAGAAAGAGAGAGAGGCACACAGAAAGAAAGAGATCAGGCTCCCAGTCTTTTCCTTCCCCCAACACAAGATTCTTGTAGAAATACAAACTGAGGTAAGTCCGTGCTTTCAGTAGTCTGACTGCCAAAAAGGCGGGGGGGGGGGGGCATTGGCTTCTCTTTGGAATACCTTTATTCCCACCATGACAATTACAGAACCTTTTGAAATTCTACAATTGAGTATTAAATGACTGTTCATAACACAATATAAATTTCAATTTCCAGGAACTATGTTACATGGAAAGGTGAGAACACCTGTTCTGTGCACTCGCCCACCAGCCACAGCTCAGCTGCACACACCAGTGTCCAGTGTGAATTCTTTTTAGTAAGTTTTTTTTCAGATGTATTTTATGAGTGGTGTGTGTATGCGCCCTCATATATGCACCATGTACATGCCTAGTGTCCAAGGAGGTTAGAAAATCCAGGCACTGAATGCCCCTAGAACTGAAGTTACATAGTTACTAACCACTGTGTGGGTGCTGGGGACGAAGCATACCCCCTCTGCAAGGGCAACAAGTACTCTTGTAGAACTGCTGAGCCCTCTCTCTAGCACCCCAATCACATGGATTGAGTGGTTCTGATCTAAAAGTGTGATGACGATGAGGATGAGGAGGAAGAGGAGGAGGAGGAAGAAGAGGAGAAGGAGGAGGAAGAAGAGGAAGAAGAAGGAGGAGGAATAGGAGGAGTGCTGTGGGAATAGGTATATGACAAAACACATGCAAGGTTGAGGGTGACTTCCAGAAATAGGCTCTGTCCTCTCACTGTGAGTTCCAGGGCTTGAAGATCAGCTGCTAAACTTGGAAGCAAGCACCTTCAGCTGCTGAGTCTTCTCTTTGGTCCTTTATATAGCTATACTTCATTATTATTAATTATTATAGCATGTTTGCATGTGTGTGTGTGGCATATGTGGTGTGTGGGGTGTGTGCGTGTGTGTGGTGTGAGTGTGTGTTTGGTGTGTGTGTACACACATGTGCACTCACTACAGGTGTCTACGTGCCTGTGTCAGAGGCTATCAGATACCTTGAAGTTAGAATCCCTGCTGGCCTGACTTGGATGCTGGAAACTGAACTTGGATCCTCTGGAAGAGCAGCAGGTACTTTTACCTGCTGAGCCATTATCCTAGCACAGCTCGATATTAAACAGCAATTTGGAATGCTAACACTTGCCACCTGGGCTATGCGGATATAAAAGATGAGAACAGTCTGACTTAGCTCCCACTGGTTTAGAAATCTAACTGGAGAGCATATGACATATGACAAAGCACGTCTCTAATCCTACTCTCCGAGAAGGGTGGCAAGAGGATCAGTTCAAGGGCGTTCCTGGCTACACAGTGAGATTAAAGGCAGCCTTGGAAACTGAACAAAAAATAAAACCAAATCCATACAACTAGGAAAAGTACCATTAGACTATGGCAAGGGTTTGGAACCCAACTCATAACCAGACACTCCATTTTGCTATTAATACCCAAGAGCAGACACCTTTAAATCCAAGGCAATGTTTTCAAAACAGGATCCTGACAGCCCAGAGTAGCCTTGAATGTCCCAACCTTCTCTCAGCCTCTGCAGTGCTAGAATTATGTAACTGTGGCTATTTGGCCAAAGTTAAGTGCTGAGAATGATGGTTATTAAAACATAATTTTGGAATATTCTTGTCTGTTCTCTATAAGAAATATACAGGCAGCAGGATGCAGCTAGAATGGCACTCTCTCTCTTTCCTCTGTGGGCAGACAAAAGCATACTATTCATTCGATAAAGACTTTTAAAAATATTTACTATTTTGTGTGTATGTGTAGGCATGCACATGTTAAGGTCAGACAACAACTTTCAAGAATTTGTTCTCTCCTTCCACTGTGGATTCCTGGGATCAAACTCAGGTTACAAGACTTAGAAGACAAGTGTTTTTGCACACTGAGTCACCCACCTCCAAGAACTAAACAATCCTGTTTGTTTGTATTGTTTAGTTTGGTTTCTCTGTGTAGCTTTAGTTATCTTGAAACTCGCTCTATAGACCAGGCTGGCTTTGAACTCACAGAGATTCACCCATCTTCCACTCCCAAATGCTGGGATTAAAGGGTGTGCTGCCACCACCTAACCATGAACTAAGCAATCTTACCAAAAGCAACTTAAGAGGATAGTGCATTTATTTGGCTTACTACTGGAAACTACAGTCTATCACTGAGGGGACATCTAGGCATGAACTTAAGCAGCTACTTATATCACACTGACAGTCAATAGCAGAGAGATGAAGGGGTCCTTG